GAACCCGATGCAGGGCTGGAACTCACAAACCACGAGATCATGACCTGAGCCGAAGTCGGCGCTTAACCGACTGAGCCACCCAGGCGCCCCTGAAATGCTCAATATATAAATTGCAGCAAAATTGGAAACTTTCTGTTATATACAGAAAGTTCCAAACAATTAAATATTTCTCCTTAGGGGTAGTCTAACCAGTCCTTCCTACCTTCAGATTCACTTACCTTTCCCTGTTCTCATTCCAAACATTGACTAAAAATAGGTCAGAGTAGGGACTGGCCTGTTTACTTAGTGCAATAATAAGAGTGCACTAAGGTGAAGGTGTCAGATTGGTTTGAAAACTGCCAGCTAAGATGTTGGAGGGAATGTTTAAAAGCATGCTATTAGGAAATAAGTGACATTTGAAAAGACATAGGCTATTTACAAAATGAATCCTTTCGAGACACGAAACCATCCAAATAGGAGACAAGTCGTGAAGTGTGTCATTGCACAGCCAGGATGGCCAGAGTTGTTTCTGGCACAACACCCTGTTTTCCTGCGGGGTTATGGGTTTTCACCCATCCACGGTTTCTGGTGAAAACACGTTTCAAGTCCAACTCGGAGGGCTCAGTTCAGTGTGATGAGCGGATGAAAACGTCCGCGACTTTCTTATGGGAAGGCTTCAATCGAGTCACACCCTCGTGGGCTGCAGGAGCCAAGCTGAAGTGGTCAACACATGGGAAGCCACAAAGGAGATCTGTGGTTTCAGGGATGTGTAGCAGTTTAACAACTGCAACTCGACACAGACATGAACACTCCAGGTGGCTGCCAGGGACCCCTGAATTTGAGTGCAGAAGGGAAGGGGAAACTGAGACACAGGGGAAGGCTGACACCTACTTCTAGGAAATGTTTGCCTTTGCAACATACCTGGAAGTCTGGTTGTCTTTTTGTTAGAGCTTGAGGTACAGAGTCATGTGCCCCAGCTTTGTTCCTGAAAGAAATGTCAAAATGTGGTGCACTGGGGAGTTTTGTGTGTAATTATCAGACTTTTCAGGACACTAGAGTGATGCAAGGCAGTGATAGACAAGAGGTCAGAATGTGGATTCAGATCCAAGAAGAGAAAACGTGGGCGGACACAGCACCCCATCCTTCTTCACAGTGTGTGTGCTGTGCAGTTGCTACGATACTTTATCAACTGTTCTCCCTCAGATTTTAACCATTTTTGACTCTGCTTTTCACCTCTACAATCAAGGCTCTCTCCAGAGTCACTTCTACTAAACAGGGATGCTAATATTTACAATATGGCTGGTAAATGCTCTCAGCTTAGTAACACCCAGGATTAGAAGAGGTGAGTGTAGTGAGCATTGGTAATATTATTAAAAGATCAGTCGTTACAGTTGCAGCCAGGTTGGGAAGCTCAGGAGAAGGGGAAGCTTTTGGCAGAAGGAAGTCATGAAGTGAGGAAGAAAAAACTGTGTCAGAGCCCTAGTGACCTATATGCCAACGTGAGTCTGTGCAGTGAGGAAGGTGGAACTCTGTAGTGAGCTTAATTACGTTCTCTGACCCGTCCCTCCAGTATCTCCCAAAGCTACCGTGGTGAGCAGGACTTAAATCTGGATTTCACAGACTTTTCAAGCCCGGGATGTGGAGTATGTTTACGTGGGGGAGGGGCATTCGCACACCTTCCTCCCTCTCCTGCCCCCTTCCCACACAACGCACACCGCGAATGAGGAGGCGAATCTGTTCTCTTTCCATGTAAGTGCTTGGTTTCCTTCCCAAGCCTTTGAGGTGTTGGAAGGGCTCTGATTTTGAGTAAGAACGGTTTATCTGTACTGTTTCACATCAGCATCTGCTGTCAGAGCCCTGGTCTGCTCTGTAAGCCTGCTTCAAAACCCGCCTCCCTGCCTCTCTTTCTCCATGCCTCCCGTTAGATTTCTTCTCTCCTCTCTCAGCCTCTCAGAGCACACTGCATGGAGCTCTTTTTATAGCACTCGCCACAATCTGCTCCGGAATCAGCTTTGATGGTGTCTGTTTCTCCCTAATCTAGAGCTCCAGGATACAGAACCTCGCCTTTTTGTCTTTTTTCCCCGAGTATTCTTCTGCAGTACCTGGCAGTAGATTTGAGGTCAACTAGTTTGAGATCCAGTCTGGGTTTATTAAATGTTATGCCTAATTCTGGGGGATCATATAGCCCTTCTTCAGAGTGTCAAATTTATCATAATCCCTGTAGCATATATTTATGCTTCAATATCTGAGTCTGCCTGCCCCTAATAAACAGGTTCTTTATTACCCTGGTTGAATGAATAGATATTTATTAGTGATGTATATTTCTTATATAGTATTTAAAGTAATGTAAGTTATTTGTGGTGGGAGAGTAAGAAAAGGTTACCAGGAAGAGGATGCTGAGAAAAAAGGAAACAATTTGAAGATCTTATCACCTTCGGATATTTAGTAGACAGTATGAAAGAGTAGAGAATCTTTTTACCAGGAACATTATTTCTTTTGTAACAACTAATCAGTTTGTGGTTAAATTTTTTAATGTACATTAATATTCATGACTTAGATTTATTTCATAAAACTTTGTGGGTTGATTGTTAATTTGTTTATTGTTATTTTTTTTTAATTTGAAATCAGGACTTCAGGTATACCAGAAACCACAACTGTAAATGTAATGATTGGTGCTTTAGTTATCATACTCAAGTGATAATTCATTATGCTTTCAAAAATATTTTTCAAAGTGGTAGTGAATTGTATGACTTGGCCTTTGTGGAGAAACTTGAATTAAACTTGTGGTTTTGACTTTTAGCGACTTGTGCAATTTGGATATTATCTACACACTTAAGCGAGATACATGGGATTACTGTTTGTTAATATGGGGAGCTCTAGCTATTCTTGGAAACTTGGAGCTTTTTTTACTAAACAAATATGGGAGAGCCTTCTGCCTGCCAGACAGACGTGTTTCTATGAAATCACTTCCATGTATATGGTGGGCGGGGTGGGGGAGGGAGGAGGTGCTGATTCCTACTTGCCTATAGGTTTCTTCAGAACAGGTGTACGGCCTCAGCTTTTGGGTCACCAAGTCCAGCCCAGTGCCTGACTGACAGTTAGGAAGGGATCATTATGTTGATGGATGAATGGCTTAGGATGCAGAGGCCTATAAGGCGGCTGGCTGCCAAGAAGGTCTCATCGTGCAGTTGGTGTGGAAGCCAGGACATTTACAATACAATTACATCAGTATAACATATCCATACAGGGAGCTTGCCCAGGGGACAGTGTACCTGAGCATGGGTGGGACTCAGGAAAGACTTTGGGGTGTTGTCCTCTTCAAGATGAGCTATGAGTGGAGGTTTTTCAAATACTCATGGGGAGGGAATGACATTCTCGGCCAGCATATGTGAGGCCACTCAAATGTGAAAGTGCTTTGTCTTTGGACTATGGATTTTTTTTCTTTAATATAAAATGTGAGGGGCTTAGTGGCAGGAGACAAAGATGGGAAAGACAGGTTAGAGCATAAAGGGCCTGGAATGCCATGCAAAGGATGGGTAGCCTCTGTTAGCAGTAGCATAGAGGAGAATTGCTGTGGTTAGGTTCGTGAAACTGGCCGTCTTCGCCCCAACACCATTCCTCCTCCTGTGATGTCTCACTCACACCTAGTTGCCCAAACCAGAAATCTGGGTTTCTTCCTTATCTGTTCTTTTGCTGGCATGTTCCCTACCTGCCACCATGCCTACTTCTAGGCATGAAACTAGAAACTGGAAACATTCTAGTTTCTGTCTAGTCCACTCACTTTCCTCTGTCCTCCGTGCCCGAGTCTGGACTGTGCTCTGTGGCTCACAGTCTCTTCTGTGGTCCCCCAGCCCTGCATCCATTCCTCTCCAGCCCTGTCGCTCTCTGGCCAGAGAGAAGCATCTAGATACACGTTAGATGGTGCTCACTCCTGCTCAGGCATTCTGTGGCCTCCCATTGCCTTTGGGAGAACGCAGGACCCTTCAGCTCAGCATCCAGCCCTCGCCTGTGGCCACCCCCCCATGTGGTTCCTGCTGCCCCTGTAGTGATGGGCTCCGCCCCTCAGCTCCCCACCCCCCCATCCCCCCCACCCCCAAGTCAGGGCTCATCTCCAGCAGGAAACAGCCTTCTCCTCCCACCTCTACACTCCCTAGCTTTGTCTTTTGGGTTGCTGCTACTGGGGCGTATTTCCTGTCTTTTCAGCTCTGGATTTTTAGAGCCCTCACTCGGTGAACCTGCAGTGCCCAGTATTTGCCCAATTGTGACAGGTGTGAAGCAGCATTTTACACACTTACTTGTCTCTTTCCTGTAAGAGGCCAGGAATTCTGCGATGGCGGAGACCAGATGTAGCTTGTTGACCATCTTATTCCCAGCATCTGGAACAGTCCCTGACAGGCAGCAGCTACTTACTGAATATTAGGTCTGTGCCCAGCACGCAGAAGAGTATCAAAAATCAGGTAGACCTTGTTCACTACCACGTACAGCCGCTGCGGCTTTTACTCGACAGATGGGCAATAATCTCACATGTTCAAATAGGCCATGATAAGGGCGGACACGTGGCCATTAGCGCTGACAGGTTAGAAAGTCATGGCTGATCTGTGCTAGTAAACTCTCTGAGAAGTGGTAAGAGCGGAAGCCAGAGGTGTGAAGAATCACAGCAAGGATAGGAGGTGAGGACCAGGCACAGATGAATTTGCAAAAATGGTTGGCTGAAGAGGAAATAGTTAGAAAGGCCACGGGGTCAAAGGAAGATATTTTTTAGGTGATGCAAGAGTTCTGTGTCTGTTCATGGACTGAGAATGAGCATCCAACACGGAGGCAGGTGCAGAAACAGGTGTGGCTCCAGGTCAGACCTGTGCATGGAAGCTCTGGCCTTGCCCTTGAGGAAAGCAGGTGTCTGTGTAGGGGGCTTGCAGCATGTGTACAGGGGTCTGGGGGGAAACAAAGGTAGAGGTAGAGGTGTAAGCATGGACGTTCAGTTCTGTTGCCCACTCCTGTGACATCTTTCTTTCTTCCTTCAGCTGTTCGGGGGACTCGTCTGGATTCTGGTTGCCTCCTCCAACGTTCCTCTACCTCTGCTACAAGGATGGGTCATGTTCGTGTCCGTGACAGCTTTTATCTTTTCCCTCCTCTTCCTGGGCGTGTTCCTCTCTGGCATGGTGACTCAGATTGATGCCAACTGGAACTTCCTGGTAAGGGATTTTTAAGTCTATTTCAGGAAAATGAGAGTGACATATAAATATCTTATTCTGTCCTGAAATGCCTGATCCCCTCTTCGATCCCCAGTGAGAGAGAGAGGTGTGACCACCGGGTCTGCTGTGCTAGTGCCTTGCTGGACAGCAGGGTCTTTGTGAAATTTCTGTCAATAGAGCCGAGCAATCTGTTACTCCTTTATGAGTTAGGTGACCTTTACTCAAAGACTCTTTTATTTCGTACAGTAAATGAATTGCATCACAGTTATTGAACTATCGAAGAGATGCTTTTGGGGGATGGATGCTATGACATACATCTTGAAATTTTCCATTGATTTCTGCTTCAGATATTAAATATGTATATCCTTTTCAGAAAACAAGGAGCGATATATTCTCTTCTCTAAATAGTTACAAAAGGGGATAGTTTGTATTTGTTTTTAATTCCTGTCCTAAATTATTAAGAATCAGTCAATTTTAAGAGATGAATTTACAATCAACATAACTTTAAAAATTATGACACCATTAAATTGGATCCACTTACTTTCCCTTTTCCCATATAACATAGGGGTCCTTTTTCATGCTTATGCTTATTCATTCCTGGGACCATTTCATAATGGCCAGTGGAGGTTGAATTCCAATCAGTTGGTAGTTAGAAATTTAAACCAAGCCTTAAATCAGGCTTATATTGTTCCTTTCAAGTATGGTAACATTGTATTCACCAGCTTTAGGACAGAGGCTAGGCATATTAAAAAATGTTCTTTGTTACAGAGTCTTAGAAGAACCATCATCCCAAATGTTACTAGCAGTGAAAAGTCTAGTGAATGTGGCTGCCCATTAACCCAGCCCAGGGGCAAATGGTTAGTGTAAAAAGTTAAGGAGGAAGTGTGGTACAGTGGTTATAATCCTGCACAGGCTTTGAACTTAAGTCTGGTTTGCTTAATAACTGTGTAGCCTTGGGCAAAATATTGAACCTCTTGGGCTTTCAATTTCTTCCTCTGTAAAATGGTAATAATGATACCTACCTCCCTTAGATGCCGTTAAGGAATAATGGCATGAATGCATTCTAAAGCGCTCATCAGCTTTGTGATTTATAGTAAGTGATCAGCAATTGTCATAATTCCATAAATACACAAGGCTTGCAGTTTGAAACTTTAAAAGCCCTTCTGTTGAGGGATGCCTTGGTGGTTTAGTCGGTTAAGCATCCAAATTCGGCTCAGGTCATGATCTCATGGTTTGTGTGTTCGAGCCCCACGTCAGGCTCTGTGCTGACACCTCAGAGCCTGGAGCCTACTTCACGTTCTGTGTCTCCCTCTATCTCTGCCCCTTCCACTCATGCTGTGTCTCTCAAAAATAAATAAATGGTAAAAAGAGGAGGAGAGGAGGAGGAGGAGGAGGAGGAGGAGGAAGAAGAAGAAGAAGAAGAAGAAGAAGAAGAAGAAGAAGAAGAGGAGGAGGAGGAGGAGGAGGAGGAAGAAATAAAAATAAATAAAAGCCCTTCTGTTGAATTACTAAATTGTACACCTGAAACTAATGTTATACCGTATGTTAACTAGCTGGAATTTAAATAAAGACTTAAGAAAAAAACATATTCTCATTCTCTCTCTCTTTCTGTCTCTCTGTCTCTCTCTCTCTCTCTGTCTCTCTCTCTGTCTCTCTCTCTCTCTCTCTCTCTCACACACACACACACACACACACACACAGGAAATCCTGTTTCTCTCTCTCTCTGAGGTTGCTGCTGCAGTGTGTTCCTACATTTTTGCCTTGATTTCTCATTAATGATGAGAAATAGCTTCTGGGTGGCTTTTAGGTCGTGTTATGCCACCGGCCTCCCGTCAACCAGGTCACGGATTCATCGGCAGTCCGGTGCGTGAGTTCACAGCCCCTCACGCTCTGGGCTGATGGCTCAGAGCCTGGAGCCTGTTTCCGATTCTGTGTCTCCCCTCTCTGCCCCTCCCCCGTTCATGTTTGCCCTCTCTGTCCCAAAAATAAATAAACGTTGAAAAAAAAAATTAAAAAAAAAAAATGATGAGAAAATATTTCTAATAAATGGTCAAGTGATGAAGATCAGAAATCTCCGTCTAGGTTATAGATAGACACTTAATCTCCTCTCCCTAATTGCCTGGCTTTCCTGTAATAATGTATGAATGAACCATCGATACCTAACGTTGATACAGCAGCAGCCTCTTTTGGCTGTATTAGGTTCAAAGATGGTGTTTGGCCACCGTGTACCAGTATAGCCTTCAGTCCTAGCTAATACACAGTCACTGCCCCCGCCCTGCTACCTCTTCCCCAGTGCTGTGCTCCCCATCATCCTGGCCCTTCCTCTGGGACTTTCCTGGACTGCCGAGTAGCTCAGCAACTAAAAGGTTAATGCCTGGAAAGGTAGTGAGTCTCCAGGAGCCTGCACTGCCCAGCGTTCCTTCTAACTGGTTGATGCACATGCTGTACCAATGTTTAAATGTTTTGCCAACATCACTCCTGGTTTTATTAGACATACAATCTTTTTTTCATTAATTTATTTTCAAATTTTATTCAGATTCTAGTTAGTTAACATACAGTACAATATTGGTTTCAGGAGTAGAATTCAGTGATTCATCACTTGCATACAACACCCCGGCTCATCATAACTAGTGCCCTCCTAATACCCATCACCCATCTAGTCCAAAAAAACAAATAATCCAGATATGAAAAGGACAGAAGACATGAATAGAAAGTTTTCCAAAGAAGACCTCTGGATGGCTGACAGACACATGAAAAGATGCTCAACATCACTCATCATCAGGGAAATACAAACCAAAACCACGATGAGGTACCACCTCCCACCTGTCAGAATGGCTAACATTAACAATACAGAAAATAACAGGTGTTGGCAAGGATGTGGAGAAAGGGGAGCTCTCTTGCACTGTTGTTGGGAATGCAAACTGGTACAGCCACTCTGGGGAATAGTATGGAAGTTCCTCAAAAAGTTAAAAATAGACTACCCTATGATCCAGAATTGCACTACTAGGTATTTAACCCAAAGGATACAAAAATACAGATTCAAAGGGGTATGCACTCTGATGTTTAGAGCAGCATTGTCAACAATAGCCAAACTATATAAACAGCCCAAATGTCCATCAGCTGATGAAAGGGTAAAGAAAAGGTGGTATATATACACAATGGAATATTACTCAGCCTTCAGAAAGAATGAAATCTTGCCATTTGCAACAGCATGGATGGAGCTAGTGTGTATTATGGTAAGTGAGAGAAGTCAGAGAATCACAAATCCCGTATGATTTCACTCATATGTGGAATTTAAGAAACAAAATAGATGAACATATGGGATGGGGGTGGGGAGGGGAGAAAGAGGGAAGCAAACCATGAAAGACTTGTAAACATCTGTTTTCCTTTTGTTTATATTGAGTCTAATTTTTGATATTGAGTACGTTGTTAATATTCTTATAAATGTATTAGGTTTCCTAAACTTTTGTTCCTCCCCCCGAGCTGTAACGTTATATCTGTTGTTCGGGCAATAAAATGTAAGAGTGGGTTTTGGTTTTTTGGTTTTTTGTTTTTCCTAATTAAACCACTTTATGGACGAGGCCGTTGAAATTGGAAGACCTCCCAGTCTGTTGCATGGCCCCCTGCAGAGTGTATCCTGTGGTTTCCTTAGCTGCGGCCGTCCACTCTGAGGGAGGGAATGGTGGTGGCCACACACAGCACACGGTGCAGCGGGGTCACTGCACAGCCTGGTGATGGCAGCCACGTTTTACAAGACCTGGCTCACGCCTTCAAGGAGCAGACTTAAACCCTTGCCATGTTTCCAGAGGGCCCCTTTTGTTTCTCCTCTTGTGTGATTTTCTACATAATCAGTCATTTTTTTGACCACATGGCTGCTTTTGGTGGGTTTCGTAACCTATGTTGTGTACTCCTAGCCAGAAAGAGTTTTGAGCCAAAGGTACTGTGGGAGTTGCCACCAGATGGTAACAACTTTTAATTGCTGTGTTCTGGAACTGTTAGACATTAACTGCTCAAAAGATAATCATTTCCCCCAGTGGTGACAGTTTAATGCTACCTGCATACAATGCACAAAGGAAGCAGAAATACATTTTGATGAAGAATTTATTTTCTAAAAGTATTTGTTGTGGGATATTGACTAAAATATTCATAGCTTCTAACTGTTGTTGATCATGAGATTGAGTTAACATCCGTGGTGGTAGATGTCCTCAGTATTTTTCCCCAAGCTTTCTAGCTTCGGTATAAATGATGAAATAAAAATATAATATGTAATATATGGAATAACCTATATTAAATGTGAAAAACTTGCCCTATTCTGAGAAAAGAAGCAGGTTTTCATTTTGAAATGGTTTTTCTGTACTCTGTGTGTGTGCGTGTGTGCGTGTGTGTGTGTGTGTGTGTAGAGGAAATAACACCATTCTGCCTAACTTTAAACAAGGGATACCATACTTATTTTCCACTTTTGGAGAGGAGGGGTGTGAAGGAAAGATATATTTTAGGAAAATAAAAGCTACAAAAAGAAGTCCTGTACAATTAAACAAATTCACTTTATTCCCCCAACACAATTGACCCACATTTGCCCATTATGGACATCACTTAATACTGTGAATGTCTTGATCTGTATTTTCTGTCCTGACACTTCATTTACTTATTTGATCTTTAGGTCGATTCCTATGGGACACCATTTTCTCGTTTTTTTCAGATGAGAAAGCTGAGGCTCTGTGTGGCCATCACCCCTTTTCATGCTGCCGTTGCAGAAACCAGGATTCCCCTATTTATGATGTAGCTTTTTTTTTAACTAGTAAAAATTTCACCTTGAAGTGTGGAGCAAAACATGGGCTTAAGATAAGAATATGGTGGGGGGGTGTCATTTGTTGCTGAAAAAAATCAAGCTATGCTTGAGGCCATTTACCTGAGCAAAAGGTGAAGACAAGTGGGCGGCACTCTGGGGTGTATGAATATTGGAAAGTTTGGCAGGAGAGCAAGGGTATGCGAAGGAGACT